GACTGCAGTTTAAACGATTTGTAAGTAGACAACATATAACAAAGGGTATTTATACCTATAGAAGGAAATACGAATCTATAGATTTCCATTAATTTAGAGTGACTTTCCATCGAAACTAGCCTTGATTTATCAAAAGTGGTTTCAATTTTAAATCCTAAAAACAGCGAGGTTGATTGCACATTCTTGTCCAATTGTATGAGGCATAGAATAGTTTTGGTATCACGTATCACACAGTAACATAAGAGGCAACCATTGGCATAGCTGAGAGGGTGGGGTTAAAATTGTTTCTCCTTAGAGACGTGTCGTATAGCAAGTTGGAGCTTATTCCTGAGAAAGCGTTCCAGAATCTGATGAGTTTAGCCCACTTGTAAGTAGCCATATTTAACGAAGTGTTTTTTATGCCTATTAAGTGGAATACGAATCTCTAGATTTCCATTGATTTAAGGTGGTTATCGATCGAGACCAGCCTTAATTTATCAAAAGTAATTTTAAGTTTAATCCTAAAAACAGCGAACTTCTTTGTACATTGCTGTCCAATTGTATTATGCACAGAATATCATTTGTATCACATATCACACATTGACATAAGAGGCAACCATATGTAAAGCTGAGAGGGCGGAGTTAAATTTTTTCTCCTTAGATACTTGTCAAGTAACAAGTTGGAGCTTATTCCTGAGAAAGCGTTCCAGAATCTGACTAGTTTAACCCGCTTGTAAGTAGATCACATATAAGGGTATTATTATGCCTATAAGAGGGAATACGAATCTCTAGATTTCCATTAATTTAAAGTAATTTTCGATCGAAACCAACCTTCATTTGTTAAAAGTGGGTTCAACTCTAACTCCAAAACATCAGCGAGCTTGATTGTTCATTGATGTCAAATTTTCTGAGGCACAGAATGTTTTTGTATCACACATGACACAGTAAAATAAAAAGCAACCATTTGCTAATATTTTTTGGCCTAAGAGGCTTGTCAGGAAACATGTTGAAGCTTATTCCTGAGAAAGCGTTCCAGAATCTGACCAGTTTAACCTACTTTTATGTAGACAACATATGACAAAGATATGAATCTCTAGATTCCATTAATTCGAAGTGGTTTTCGATCGAAACCAGCCTTGACGAGTTGAACCCCCTTGTAAGTAGAAAACATATAACAAAGGGTATTTATGCTAATAGAAGATACTACGAATCTTTCGATTTCAATTAATTTAAAGTGATTTTTGATCGAAACCAGCCTTGATTTTTCAAAAGTGATTTTAACTTTGAATCCGAAAAACTGCGAACTTGAGTGTACATTGTTGTCTAAGTTTATGAGACAGAATCACGGTTTTGTAGCTCACATCACACAGTAAAATAAGAAGCAATAATTTGCAAAGCTGAGAGGGCGGAGTTAAAATTTTTTCTCCGTTGAGATTTCCCAGGGAACAATTTGAATGTTATTCCTGAGAATGCGTTCCAGAATCTGACCAGTTTAACCTACTTGTATGTAGACAACATATAACAAGGGGTATTTATGCCTATAGAAGGGAATACGAATCACTAGATTTCCATTACTTTAAAGTGATTTTCGATCGAAACCGGCCTTGATTTATCAAAAGTGATTTAAGCTTTTAATCCAAAAAACAGCAGCGAACTTGAGTGTTCGTTTTTATCCTATTTTCTGAGACAGAAAATTTTTGTATCAGATATATCACATAGTAACATAAAAAGCAACCATTTGTATGGCTGAGAGGGTGGAGTTAAATTTTTTTCTCCCTAGAGGTTTGTCAGGGAACATGTTGCGATTGTTTTCATCCAAATATCCTGATTCCTCAGTTTGTTTCATTGTAAATGGCGTTTGTTACAGTCCTTGGTTTACAAAGCTTTTCATTCTCGTATACTTTCACAGGGCGCCCGTGGTATGATATCTGTGTTTGCTACTGTATTGAGATGGGATTCGCTTCCCACCACTGAGCACCCTGGTATTGCTTACATCCATTGAAAAAGAAAAAAAAAACCTATTAAGTCAAATTTTAAACCCATTTTGATGCGTTTATCAATTTCCATAGTAACTGTTACATACAGATTTATAGTCGCGTGCAGGACTAAAATTTCCCTATTGCTTCATCAAAGTAGCCAGGGTTGCAGCCGGACTTGTCACAAAATCCCCGATATAGTCCGTCTTTGCAATGGCTCCTAAAAGCTTGTTCTGACAACCTTTGTGGATGCACAGATCCATTTTTGATTGGCTATTTCTTACGCGCCTTGTGATTGGTTACATTCTTATGAAAAATATCAGTCAATTGATCTTAATTTGTTCGCGTGTACATTGTATGTTCTTTTGTACAAAGCCTTCTTGTCACTTTGGTACATTCCAAAAGATCGAAAAGGTTATGTCTCATTGGCCGGTTTGTTGTCATTTAAGCTGTCGTGTCATTGAATAGAATGACAAAAGAGTGTTGCTCTCTAAGGGATGGAAACAATTCGATGTATACTGCGGGATTGAAAGTTTGGAAAAGTATTGGCAAGTACGAGTGCGTCTGTCTATTGCCTTTTGTCACAACGTACCATCCAGCAGTAAATTAATTTCAACTAATATTGATTGCAAATTGGAATGTGATGCATAATCAGCTTTTGCTGAAAATTATTTAGGTAAATCCTCCGATAATCCCTTACAAAAAGGGAAAATTTCCAATCGACACGCTTGTGATAACAAAAATAAATCATTTTAGGGTAATACTGTGCGATGCAAACACAAAAGTCACATGGTGAGTCCCGCTCGTTTGTCTTTGGCTTAATTCAGCCAACTTACACTTACTTCCTTCATACTTTGCTCATTTACATGATTCAATACCCTTGTCTCAATTCCTTTCTCTTTGTCTTTACTTCTCCACATTTAATGTGACGATAAACACACATTTACGTTTAAGAAAATATTCGAAGACAAGGTAAACGGGGAGTGTATTTCAGAAATTTCAACTGAGTGCACGTATCTTGAAGTCGTAAATGTAATAACTTTCCTAAATGTAATAAAGTCCTAAATGTAATAACATTTGATCCTAAATGTAAGAAGCCTCCGATGCAATCCTTTGACTGCGCCACTGCATCGTTGTTATAGGAGACATCCGCATTGAGGTGTTAAAGTGACAGCTGTTGCACCAAAAAATCCTCTGACCAGTATTCATGTCACATTGCGTGCTCACTGATGTCAATCATCATCTTTTTACTTGCTAGACGCAAGTCGAGCAGCAGATCGTCATACTGACGGCATCAAATGACAGTTGGCAAAACAATGAGTACGCTGACTAATACTTCCTTATTTTACTGGCTCAGATTTTGAAAAAATTGATGTCATTGTTATACTTGTGCGATCAGTGATGGAGGTACAAGGTACAAGTCATGATTGAGTCATGAACCAAATTACAAACTTGGACAAGGGAGTCTTCAGACTTGTAGGCCAGACAGTTTGCAGACTCGGATATACATTTTTTGACTTTTCTTTCTCGACCAGACCTTGTTAGCATGCACCTCTTGTTTCTCAATTCGGACCTTGTGACAAATCTCTGGAGAGTTATTGCTTTCAAATTCTCGAATGTTTTCATGATTATATGAATAGAGAGGAGATACTATTTCTCCCCAAGAAAACATAATTGGGGTCAATTATGTTCTCTTGATCTTGAAGTGCATGCAACAAATCCGACAAATGGAAATGGTATAGTAGGGGTCTAGATCAAATCATACACTCAGTGGCTTACATTTACCAGGTGTTAATGGAAAGAAGCTACTGACCAGCACTTTAAAAATGGTTATTTATGTTAAGGACTGCAAATGATGTCCCGGTCCCCAAAACTCACGTAAAAGGTTTTGCTCTTGCCTCCTCTGAGATGTGAGTAAAACTCATCCTGTAAGCCGTTTTTTGATGGTCTACTAATTGATTTAAGAAAAGGAAACATGGTTTGCTCGACGCACTGATCTTCTTAACGATCAAATATTAAGTAAAACATCGTAACCTGACTTTGAAACGGAATTTTCTTCTACTGAATCGGCCCTATGGGACTGATATGCACGTAGCCAGCTTATTTGAAACTTTCAAACTAGCTGGTATTAACAGTAAATATTTGTCCACTAGCGTTACATTAATTGGTTGAAGTGCCTTTGAAAAAATTCTTGAGTTCATATACCAGCGAAGTTTTGACTGATGATGATAAAAATACTATTAAGTGCGAAAAAGATTTCACGAGCCTATAAAATATTTCTCGCAGTTTTCTTTGAGATCTATATCGAATGTAGTATGCTAATACTTCCAGTGATTCAACGAGAGATTTATTTTTTTAGCCGTTATGGTTTTAGCATTACTAGCATTATTGTGGGATAGGTCTGTGGCCCATAAAGATCGTGGAAACTTCGAAGGGAACACGAAACCCTCTGCTTCAGTAGACGACGTCTGTGAAGCCCTGCTCGACCTTGTTGAAGGGTAGGCGCCTGACAACCAGTGAAAGAACGAACGAAAGTAACGCGTGCAGCTGCTGTACGACACTGAGGAGCCGGCGAAAGGATATCAGTCAAGGAAGACCATGGTAATTATGCACTATATTATGAGGGGCGTCAAATGTTAAACTCATCAGAGGTGAACAAAGTAGTGATTGAGGAGTTTAAAAGGACGAAAGAATCTGGTGCGGGGAAGCTGGCTTGCTCTGAGGGACAACCTTTTTGGTAATAAGTCCAGCTAAAACTACGAGGAAGGGAAATATAGCGTACTTAGAAAGTCATCCATGCGATAGCGACGGCCTCCCTTTTTTGGAGTATATGGCAGATGATGGGTTCGCGCGCTGCGACGACTATTCAACTTATATGGCGCAAGATGGGGCCTATAGGGATTAGATAACAATGTATGCAGCAACAAACTTGTATAACATCGACATCCAAAACATATAGAATCAACCGCTGTTGTAAAATAAGTGAAAGAAAACTAAAACTTGTACAGAAATCTGTAAAAGGAATGAAGACCCAATTAAAAGTAGAAATAAAAAAACCTGGAGACTTTTCAAACGCAAAGCTTATTCAAGTACTTTAACATTCTGTTTTGAGCTTAACTAAATACGTCTCTGCGCATCTAAACCACCATGACCTACTCGCTTGAGTGGTCGTTTGTATCAACAACAGGAATAATACTTCAGTTGAGAACTCACAAATACATCCGCTGGAATTTCTCGCTGTTGAGGCAGCGCGGCACAGAGACCAAAGGAAGATGCAACATACAAGTTGTTTGGCTGCGCGGTGTTGAATGAACAGCCTTGTTGGCGGGCTTGAGACCGCTGGCGTGATAGTAGGTATTTCATCCGGGAGTCAACGAAACTTTTCGTTCTTTGCAGAGGCATTTGGCCCGATTCCACATCAATTATTCATTAGCACACAGTAGAGCTTTTCCGGATCGAGTTTGGACCCTTAAACTCTTAAAAGTTCAGCCGATCGATTGAAGACTTCGGCCTCCATGATGAGATCGCGCTAAGTGATGCCGATCCAAGATTCATTGCGAATTGTTAATTAATAGTGAACCTTTAACTTATAAAATAACAATCACAATGGACGAAAGGTTCCTTGCTGAGCTGTCCGTAACGCACAAGAACAATAACTGACGTTATGCATTATACATGTGAACGAAACAAGTGATCTCGATTCTAACCGCTAAAGCGCGCGTTATTGTTGACAAATACAACAGATATGGATAACTGAAACTTATATTTTCAGTAACCCCCAACTTATTATGGACAAGGTTACATGATACCAAGAAATGCAAGAGTATTTTTGAAAATGCAGCAATGCTTTGCCACGAATTTTAAATTACGCCTGAGAAGGCTACACGTATTTCTATCCTTTTTTTTGGCATTCTTCATCGCCTAAAATCTTTTCCTCTAGTTTTTTTTAATTCATATACTACTCATAATTCAAGGGCTCGTTTAATTCTTCGTGAGGTGTTGGTTTATGTTCATGGCATGCCCAGTTTTAACCGCATAGACACCTATCGATTGCAAGTGTAAATTGGTTCTCTAAGTTGATGACAGAAATGATAGCGCCTCTTTAGAATGCAAGCTGCGAGTTTTTTCCGGGACCAAAGCTCCTCATATACCAAATTTTGAAAAACAGAATCAAAACATGTGTTGATTACAATTTAGCAATTATTGACCATTTATTTACACAA